CATTCCTGCAAAACGCAAGTTCGCGTCAATACGTGGTCTGTGCCTCGCTCTGTTTGTCCCACAAACACCCAACATGAAACACAGGCAGTCATGGAGCCACCAGTGACTCCTCTTCAAGCTACGGTCCGTACTACAACCCCTAGCAAACCAAGAAATAGAACCTAGGAACATGAGTAACATGGCCCATGGCACAGGGGGGGGGAGTTGGGCGCTTTGGTGCTGCTGTCTCAGATCGCGGCTCAGCGTGGAAGATCAGCGGCCCGCCCTCCACCAACTCGTCGTCGAAGGGCACCTGCCGCGGCCATGGGTCAAAACCCCGGTTCGCCCCCAGTGAACATCCCAGACCCCGCTAACTAGACCACGGTTGGCCCGAAAGCAGAACATCGCAAGCGAGGTCGGCCCAACGCTGCAGGATGCGTTCTTTTTCCCTACACTTCGTGAAGCAAGCGCGAGACAGCACCAGGCAAGGTGCTCTGCGCAAACTGGTCGGTGCAAGTTGGTCTGCGCAAGTTGCTCTACGCAAGTTGCACTGTGCAAGTTGCTCTGCGCAAGTTGCTCCGCGCAAGTTGCTCCGGCAAGTTGGTCCCTGCAAGTGGCTCCCTGCAAGTTGCTCTGTGCAAATTGCGCTCCCTGCAAGTTGCTCTGTGCAAGCTGCTCTGTGCAAGTTGCTCTGTGCAAGTTGCTCTGCGTAAGTTGCTCTGCGCAAGTTGCTCTAGGCAAGGCGCTCTGCGCAAACTGGTCGGTGCAAGTTGGTCTGCGCAAGTTGCTCTGTGCAACTTGCTCTGCGCAAGTTGCTCTGCGCAAGTTGCTTTAAAATGCAAGTTGCATCTTGCGACGCCCGCCCGCGGACCAGGGAGGAATCGAACCCGCGACCCGCCGGTTCCGGGAGCAGGCGCGCGAACCACGAGACAACTCCCGAGGACCAGTTCGAACAACAAAAGTCGCAAAAAACCTCGAGTTTTTGCACCTCGACCACGCCGATCCCCGCAGAGGGTTGCGCGAGCACCGCAGAAATCGCAAAAAACCATGGGTTTTTGCACCTCGACCACGCCGATCCCCGCAGAGGGTCGCGCGAGCACCGCAGAAATCGCAAAAAACCATGGGTTTTTGCACCTCGACCACGCCGATCCCCGCAGAGGGTCGCGCGAGCAGGTTAGAAATCGCAAAAAACCATGGGTTTTTGCACCTCGACCACGCCGATCCCCGCAGAGGGTCGCGCGAGCAGGTTAGAAATCGCAAAAAACCATGGGTTTTTGCACCTCGACCACGCCGATCCCCGCAGAGGGTCGCGCGAGCAGGTTAGAAATCGCAAAAAACCATGGGTTTTTGCACCTCGACCACGCCGATCCCCGCAGAGGGTCGTGCGAGCAGGTTAGAAATCGCAAAAAACCATGGGTTTTTGCACCTCGACCACGCCGATCCCCGCAGAGGGTCGATTTTCGTGTAGTGTCGTCGGCACTACCCCGCCGCCCTAAGAAGAGATTTTAACTCCTCGCAAGTCAATTGCACTTGACTCCTTGCACTTGCAACTTGCACTTGACTCCTTGCTTGTTTCAAGGAGTCATTGCAAGGAGTCATTGCAAGGAGTCATTGCAAGGAGTCATTGCAAGGAGTCATTGCAAGGAGTCATTGCAAGGAGTCATTGCAAGGAGTCATTGCAAGGAGTCATTGCAAGGAGTCATTGCAAGGAGTCATTGCAAGGAGTCATGAGAGCCATTGCAAGTTGCAAGGAGCCAAGTGCATGGAGTCAAGTGCAAGTCGCAAGTGCACGGAGTTAAGTGCAAGTTGCAAGTGCAAGGAGCCAAGTGCAAGGAGCCAAGTGCAAGTGCAAGTTGCAAGTGCAAGGAGTCAAGTGCAAGTTGCAAGTGCAAGGAGTCAAGTGCAAGTTGCAAGTGCAAGGAGTCAAGTGCAAGTTGCAATCCTTGCCATGACTCCTTGCAATGACTCCTTGCAATGAATGACTCCTTGCAATGACTCCTTGCAATGACTCCTTGCAATGACTCCTTGCAATGACTCCTTGCAATGACTCCTTGCAATGACTCCTTGCAATGACTCCTTGCAATGACTCCTTGCAATGACTCCTTGCCATGACTCCTTGCCATGACTCCTTGCAATGACTCCTTGCCATGACTCCTTGCAATGACTCCTTGCAATGACTCCTTGCAATGACTCCTTGCAATGACTCCTTGCAATGACTCCTTGCAATGACTCCTTGCAATGACTTTTATGAGGATGATTCCTTGCAATGACACCTTGTAATGACTCTCATGAGAACAACTCAAGTGAACCCAGCGGAAGAACCCTTCGCCATGCTTTCGGGAAAATGTTCTAAAATGGGTGGTGAATTCACCCACCCCAAAATAGTACCATTGGTTTTGACCCACAGCCATAAAGCCCAACCGTAGCTTCCTTGTCGCTTCGGGGACCCCCTCTTCAAACAATGGGCACTCCTTGGGAAATCGGTGGGTGCTAAAGATGGGTGAAGAGAATTGGGAATCAC